ACAATAAAAAGCACACAGTGTCATAAGGAGAGTGGGTGATTTACTGGCGATCGTGTTTCATGTTCCAGCGGTGGAAGCTCTCTCCCATGGGAGAGCGAGCTGTTTTGTAAACATACAAATGCTGCCGCCGCTGCTGCTGACGCACATTTGAATATTTATGAGTCTTTAGGGTTGCATCCAAACGTCAAAAAAGCTTCTCCTTTTACGTCTGAATGTAATGACTATTGGGAGTGTGAAACTTGAGTTTGCAGAGAAACTCAAGAAGACAGAAAACGAACATGGTTTTCCATTCCTTATGGTTCACGTCATGGACTCTCTCTATTTTTTTTTTTTTTTTTTGCAAAGGCTATTATTACTTTTATTCTTTCACATGAGGAGAGGTTGGTGCCTTTGTGGAGTAATAACACCCTCTAGCACTTCCAAAGGATGTAGAGATTCAGTGCAAACATATTGTTTTGGACATCTATGACTGGAATGTAAACGCTGTTCCTTGTTTTATATTTGATAGGGTCACTACTGAGATATTTTTTAACATAATTTGTTTGTGACTTCTCAGTATTTGTGAAAGAGACTAAAATAAAATAAAATAATCATGTCACGATGAGCAGCTATTCAGGTAATCCAAGCATTAAGGAAAATATTATTAAGTGCACATTAACAACTTTAAAATATGCATTTACATAAAGGAAACTGAGGTTTTGACCCCCATCAGTTTCTATGAAAAATTGCTCTCTTGGATTTTTTTTTTTTTTTAATCAAGATAAAATCAAATGTAAAAAACTGTCTTGCCAATTGGGTGATTAATTAATGGTCATATCCTGCTGAACTGATCTACTGCATAAGCATTGTTCTGTGGTTTGATCCATTAAAGTTCTTTGCACAGATGATGTGTTGCGCTCCCCAGTGAACTTTGTCATCATTTGGCTGTCTGACCATTGTTTCCCCAAATTGCAGTATTGTCACAGGTCAGCGAAGGGCTCTCTGTCCGCTGCTGCAAGCTGTTTTGTGGCTGCTGACACAAGGGGATTCATCGGGTAACGAGTATTGCAACAAACTCCACCGTCATCTCAAATTTTTATCTGGGGCCAGTCTGTGAGGGGCTCCCTGGGGAACCGATTTTATTTGACCTTTTTCAGACAAGCAGCAGCTGACAAGTCACCCCTTGTGTCTAGTGAGGGATTTTGTTCTTTTTTTTCCTTTGTGACTGTGGATATACTACTGAGATGAAGCTACGTTTATTAATAGATGTGTTGATCTGAACTTATGAATTATAAGGACATTAATGCTTTCCTGGCATTTTTCCCCCTTTGAACCCACTTTGGATCTTCAAAAGGGAGTTTTGTTTGACTCTAATTAGGTGAGAAGAAGTCTGTAAGAAGCTCATTAAAAAAAATCATCGGTGCCCTGGGAGGCAGCATGTGCAATATTGGCCTATAAGTGTCCTGCTATGTGAATGGATTGAAAATAAACAGAACATGCGGGGAAGCCTGGTACAGTGGCGGATATAGCAGCGAAGCCACAACAGGCTCCTTAATTACAAACTGAACTTTAACCCACATCCCTTTCACTCCGTCTCCTCCAGCCCACAGAAACGTCACAAAACAGAGACGGTCACCTAATCATTTTAACAGCTGGCAAATTACTGCTTGTGTGTTGTTGTTTTTATTTATTTATTTATTTTTCATAACACAGCTAGACAAGCGCGTAAGATGAATCATTATTATCCGAACAGGTTGAGGGATTACTTTCAAAAGCACAGCGAATACACACAGGAACAGGCAAATGTTTGGTATTCCTGTCGCCCGTGAGACAGCATCCGACCAATCCGAGGAAGCCGGCAGAAGACAATCCCTTTGTGTCCATCAGGAAGACACCAAACAAAACCCAGAGGTGTCGAGCATGTGAAAAACAAATCAGAGGTTAAGGACCGAGATCTGTCCCGCTGGTGGGAAAAGCAAATTGTGTGCGGAGCCTCTAGTCTGGGTAACCATGACGCATGAGCGGCCCGTTTCCAGCCTGTGGAGAAGTGTGGGACCCCATCAACTCCTCGCAGTTATGTCCATATGAGTGTCTCAGAGAGGTTCATTGTGTGTGAAGAAAGGGGCGGGATACAAACCTGGGAAAGCATTTTTCTTCTTGGCTTCTTGCTCTCTGTTGGCTGGCTGTGACCTTTTAAAAGCCACTGATCCAAAAAATGAAGACTCTGAAAGGCCGCTGTTTGGACTCTCTATCCCAAACGCACACCTGCTGCTGATGCCGCGGGAGCTTTTGTTGTAATGCAGATGTATTGTCCTGTTCGTGTCCCTGTCAAATTTCGGCGTGCTGTTCTCCAGCTGCTTATCGCTCCTTTTTTCTTTTTCTTTTTTTCCAAATGCTTGCATTAACATAATGCCCTTCGGTGCTGCAGGAGGAACAGGGACGGAGGAGAAAGGGAAAGCTTCACGGTTTGTTTTGCTCCTTTCTCACATGGTTGCTGGAAACATTCCCATGTGGGTGAAAAAAACTTCCAGGAGCTGAAGTGGAGCATGCCTCGGTCCCATGATACTCACCTGACATCCCTCCCCTTCTCCTCTGCCTCCGCTTCCCTCCTCTCCCCGGAGTTAGTTTGAAGTCATTACCATCCACACCCTTCTGGGACTTTATTCACACTCCCATCACATCTCTTGCGAACCTCTTTCTATAATTGGCCTTCTTTTGTTTTAGACTTAAATAGAATCTATGGCGACTGTCTGGGGCCTCTCAAGGACATTCATCATGAGCTTGCTATTTTGTAGAGCCGTACTGGTGGTCAGTCACATGCACACATGCTGGATATGAGTTGTATCCTCAGTCAAGTGTTATTTTAGTGAAGTAGGTGGGAAAAGTGTTTCTCAGCTGAAGGTGGAAACTTAAGATTATCTTCTCATGGATTTCAAATGTACATAATTGGATTTTAATGTTGGTATATTCACCTAAACAGGAATCATATAATCTAAAAAAAATGTTAAATTATATGATACAATTTTATGCTTGACAAAAAATAAATGACTATGTTGCATAGAAGTGAAACTAGGAAAACATCATCCATCCATCCACTCATCTAAATGGGCATATGATTCTGTGCCAAAAATAACAATGAAAATATATTACATTTATAAAAACTACCAATTGTTTAACTATTTACTAACTTGTAAATTACTTGAGGTCCTTCGGCACTTTATAATGATTCTGCTGTGAAACTGAATGACATTGTAAATCTCTTCATTTTTTTTCTGTTCTTTGTTTCTACTGAAAAAGTCAACCTGGAGTTAAATGTAGTTGTTTTGAAGACATACAATTCAACATTCCAATTTCCATAAGCAGCAACACCAACCAGTCTGCAAGTTTGTGAAATTTTTGAAAGCATGGCGACATGTGACGCAAGGAGGACTTTGTAACTTTTTGCTGCTTTGAATGAATGAAACGCTTTTGTGCAACAGTGGTGTACCATCAGTTTGAGCTTATGTTTAATGGTAAATGGTTAGCACTAAAGTGACCCCTCATTTATTGATGACTACTGAATAACACCATTCCCTCTGTGGGTGTTAACGCGCTGACATTGCTATTTTTGGTTGGGTAATTAAAAAGACCCTGTTGCAGTTAAAGACACCAGAGGGCCGAGGCGTGCAGGATTCTGCTGATTCTTCCTCCCTTGTGTCATCAGACCCCAGCCTCAGGAATGCCTCAGAATGGGAAGGGAAACAGGAAATACTTTTGTCTCCCCACAGCACTTTGGTCTCCTTTTATTAGTGTAGTGTGTTTTTTTTTTATTATTATTTTTCTTCTAAGAAATCCTGTAGTACCGCCGTAATGAACCTTCTGGAACAGGATCAAGAGAAAAGAAAAAGTTTTCCCAGCAGCATAAAACATAATCACTGTAAGCAAACTGATGTAATTATATTGATAACAAATTCCCACGGGAACTAACACGGGGAGGTTGCAAAGAATCAGATTTAGCAATTCACCATTGTTCACAGACAGGTCAAATTATAGCTGAAAAGAGAGACATCAGATCCACCCAGATGTACAACTTTGCCGTGTAGCGATTCATGTGGTTGGCTTTGTAACAAAAGAAAGAATACTGAAAGGGCGCTGCTGGTATTTCCTCCCTTAAACCTCTGAAATGTAGCCTATTGTACTTTGGTTAAAGATAATCTGCTGTGGAGTGTGTGTGGAACAGCAGAGAGCTTAGCACCATCACTTCCTGTCCAGCTGTTCCTGCTGTCGCTGCTTATGAGCAGACGTCTGTATTTCCTCGTCTGAGACATGTTGCTGAGGCATTCGCTCCACACACGCACACGCGCTTAATTTGCAGCCTGCCTCTTTAAACCCCACAGAGTAACAATATATTTTTATGCCGAGGGTGTTATATTGTGGTGACTCCCATGTTTGGCTTGGCTGGAGCCTGCTTCTGGGTATCTCTCTTGGAGCATGAGCGTAGGCGGGTGTAATGGATCTCTCTTTAACATGGGTGTAATAACACTCTATTTCCACCCATGTCTGGGAGCGGCAGGGGATTTACCTTTTAAAGGGTAATTTCACATTATTCTGAAAAAAAGAAATCTGTCTCACCAAACTTTGGTGCCGTTCGTACAAGGAGGGTTTGCTTTTCCTGATTATGAAGACTTCTGCTTTGCACAAAAGAATTGAATGAAGCACCAAAACGGGCAAAAATGCTAGAAAAGCAAAGACTTGCTCCTATGGGAATAGATTTGCAGAACTCTAGAGCTGTCACAATCTTTTTTAGAGGGGTGTCATTATGTATTTTCTAGGTGCATAGTGCAATCAAGTAACTATGTAACCTTCAGTTGTTAGGAAAATGCTTAAAATATATTTCCTCACTGATATGCATTTCATTGTAGTTGTATTTAAGTTCACAGCTGGACCAAAGACCGTGAGAGTATGGGTTGCCTCCTGTATTGGTCAAAGTCTTTCATTTTGCATCCGGATTGACCTTTATATTCTGTTTGTTTCTCTTCCAGGATGCGTTTGTGGAACTGTACGACAGACAAAAGGAGTCGGTCTTCAGCTGCTACTGGCCGTCCATCAAGACTGTCTTTGGCCTGGCTGCGCTCGGAGCGGCCAGCGTCACCATCGGAGCATACCTTGCACAAAAGTGAACAGTATCTCTATCTCTCTCTTCATCTCCTGACTCCTCCGGGCTCAACTTTATTTCTCAGCACCGTCCTCCTCCTCCTTTTTTATTTCTTGCGCCTCCTGTTTTCAAAGATGCCCCTGACCCCCTCAGAGACAACCTTCAGACCGATTCTGGCCCTCTTCAAAGCCTCTCTGTGAACGCTTCTTTTCCTCATGCCCCTTCTGTCAAAACAGACACGAATCAAAAAACAGCAGAGGGAACCAGAGGCGCGGCCCGTAGACGCATCCGAGGAGCGAGAAAACCAGGCTGACTGTGGCTGAGGAGGAAGAAGGAATGCACGTCTTTTTCTTTCATTTCTTGCCTGCTTCTGTACTAGTTTATTGCATGAACGTTTGAATGGTAGAGTATAGACACGAGAAAGGTGTGGCAGTGCGGGACCTGTTTTAGGAGGGCTTGGTGATGAAGACGCAGCGGACCCCGATCCCCAAAACCTTGTTATAGGATGAAGGACCCTGTCTGAGCTGTGGACTCCAGTTACCTCCCTACAGCCGTCCTTCAAAGAACTTCTGTAGAACAGCTGCTTAGATTGTGTAATGGAAACAGCTCACTGCAGCCAGCACAGCGTGTGTCTACTGTTTTCACTTCTCACACAGCTCAGGTGAACACATTGCACCACTATGCTATCTCTCTCTCTCTCTCTCTCTCTTTCTCTGGGTCTGTAATGGAGGGAGAGGAAGCCTGAGCTCAGCTCAGCTGAAAGCTCCTTGATTTTCGTGCTGGGTTTTTATTTTTCTTGCATGCCAAACCAAATAAGGAGGTGTGTGTATGTGTGCCTGTTTATGTGTGCGTGTGTTTTCAAGGAGCATAAAATAAAGCGTGAAGGTATGTTGCTGAGTGTCCTGAGGGAAACGTGCAGTCGAGCGCACAAAGAGAATCGGTTAGAGGTACAATAAATGTTGCTTTCTTCAGCCTCCAACGTCTGACCGGACAATTTTAAGAGCTCGTTCTTCAAGCAGTGTAATGTGAAGTAGATTCATAGCTTTACTATTAGCATAAACAACTCAAGAGTTTTGTGACTGCTCGTGGTTCTCCTCACAGAGCCCTTTTGGGGTCCAATTGTCTGGTCTCGCCCAGGTGTCAGGCGACACGTGTGTCCTCCAGTTGCTGCCGCCCCGCAGTAACTCAATAATGAATCCGCTCTGACACAGACAGCTGTTGACGTGGACTGACAGAGAAATGTTCTTGTGTGGCCACATGTGACTGGGTGGAAATCAAGTCCGCAGCATTTCGGTAGTGGACTCCTGGTCGTTGGAACCTGAGCTGTCCCTCCCTCCCTTTTTCTGTCCGGCCTCCGAAAGCACCCGGGGATTGATTTTTATTCCTTTCAGCCTGTTTTATTGATGTTCGTCTTGTGTTGCAGTCTGATGGAAAATTCCAGGTCCCCAAAATATTTTTGGTTGGACACGTCTTCCCAGCCTTTTCGCGGAGTGGGAATTTGGATTTTCTCTTTCTGTTTCTTCGTTGCATGGATGAAAGTCAACCGTAACACAATAGATGCCCATGATGTGTAACTGTATTTATAATACGACAGGCTATAGAGAAGAAGTAACAATAAATAAAGCTACATTTCTTTAATTTATTTCAAGGTACAAGATTACAGACTTTCAGAATAAAACTAGTCACTTTTATTTTCCTTTTTCTATGGAATCACACTGTAAACTACATAGTTTCCTGGCTGCTAATACAACAATGTGTAGAAATTAATCTTTGTGTTGCGTTGATGTCGGCTGCTATTCTGTCAAGATTAAAACTATTCCTCACAGCTTAAACTGCCACAACTTCACAGTACACATGTGTAGAGAGCTGGAAACCAAAGTAAACTTGTGCTGGTCTTTAATTTAAAACATATCTGACAGAGCATACAGTGCCGTGCAAAACCTTTTTCACATTTCGTCAGAATTAAGTCTGCTTTTTTTTTAGTGGGATTTTATGCGACAGACCAAGACAGAGTAGTGCAGAACGGGATATGTAACATTCAAAAACATATATCAAAAATCCAAACTGTGGTGTTTGTTCTATTCAGCCCCTTTTACTCTGATGCCAACAAATAAAATGTGGTGTCATGTTAGCAGGTGTTCTGTGAGCAGACATTATGGAAATCAAGAAACACACCAGACAAGTCCAAGGTGTGGAGAACCATTAAGCACCGTTAGCTTATGAGACAGCATTCAAAGCACTGAACGCATCATAAAGCACTCCTCAGAAGTTCGCTCTCCAGCAGAACAGCGACACTAAAAGTACAGTGAGAGTTGAGATGAAATAGTTTAGGTCATGCAAAACGTCATGACATCAAAACAGCAGCATTAAACATCAGAGTGGAAATGTTATATCTACGGTGAGACATGCTGGGGGCATTGCATCTGGATTAAGGTTCTTTGACTGAGCTTGAGTTTGTACTGAAAGGGCGAAACGGCCAAATAATATGATTTTAAATGTCAAAAAGTGGCAGAGACAAGCTGAAAAATACCTACTACTGCTGGGGAATACAAATGCACAAAACACTTTGAAAACCATGCATCATTTTTTTTCCTCCACTTCCCAATTATGCTGTATTTTGCGTTGGCCTGTCACACAAAATCCCAATAAAATCCATAGAAGTTTGTGGCTGTAATTTTGTCAGAATGTGAAAAAATAAAAATAAATAAAAATACAACTCATAGGAATGCTTTTGCAAGGCAGTGCGGCTTCAGCTCACCGAGGGGTTTCTGTGTAGTGTAACTGTACTATAGCCGCTTCACTTTCATCCGCTTCATGCTCACACAATAACTAAAGTGTAAAATGTCAAATGCCAGACCTAAACCTCCTCCTTTTAGCCACCACGGCTCACAGAGTGATGCGTGTGTTTGTATGAAACAGAGGGCGATTCCTGCACAGGAAGATAGGAAGAACTTTAACAGCAATATACTGTCATTTTCATAACCTCTGTGCATATATGAATGTAGCACTCTTGTTGCTGTCCTGTTTCATTGTCTATAATCTATACAAAAAAAAAAACCTGTAGCACTTATTAAAAGAGAAAGTGAATCGTGTTCCTGTTGTTTACCGCTATATCCACAATAAGCTAGTGGGATCATATTGTTCCTAATAAATCAGATTTCTCCAGCAGATGCAGTCTTGAGCTCCGTGTTGTGTTTGTCTTTATTGATTCTCAGCTGCCTCTCGGAGCGAAGTCAACAAGGCGGAGAGAGAATAAGAGATGCTCAAAGGTGAGGAGCGGCGCATCAGCTCCACTCTTTTGATTATCTGTTACATCTATCACAGCCCTGCGTGAGCCTGATCGTGTCAAGGCGACTGTCTCCTTGTGAAGGACTGCAGCAGCAGAAGAAGCAGCAGCAGCAGCAGCAGCAGACATCAAAGCTGTCCCCAAACGCTACTGCACTTGTCAGCCTTCCCCTCCTCAGCTGCTAAACACCAGAGTGCAGAGACCCCCCTCCCCCCCCCCCCAACCCTCCTCTGCCGCCTCCCCTTCACAAATGCCCCGGGGCCAGGTTTTTGTACGCCCTCTTGCCTCTGCTCTGATCACACTTGTCTTCAAAGGCTGCGGACCCTCTCACTGCTCGCTGGAATCTGTGCAGATCATGATGCAGTAAAACCTAATGTTGAAAGAGTCAAGTGGGCACAAGAAAATGAGGGCCAAGCAGAGATTGAAAAAAAAAAAAACTGTGATGGGTGTGTGTGTGTGTGTGTGCGTATGCGTGTGCGTGTGTGTGTGCGTGTGTGTGTGTGTGGGTGTGTGTGTGTGTGTGTGTGTGTGTGTGTGTGTGTGTGTGTGTGTGTGGCAGAAATATCCCCGAGGAGACCAACAGCAGAGGAAAGTTCATTTGGAGTGAAGACGCCCCTCTCCATCCCTCCTCTACCTCCTCTCCAGCTCTCACCATGCATATAAAATGCATGACTCGCTCTGAAGAAGAATTTTAAATCAAGTCCTGGACTTTCAAAAGCGAGTCCGGTGTGGGTGTGGATGGTGAATGTCTGGGTATAGAAAGTGAAAAAAATGGGCAGTGAAGAGGAGGAACGATGTGGAGGTTGCAGAGAAGCTGCCCCCCGACCCACCCACCCACCCACCCACCCCTGGATCTTCTGCTTTAGGGCTACAAGGTGTGAAGGAGGCTTTCCCAGAGCTCGATATCACAGGGGAGATTGGGAGATCAAAGCGGATTGTCAGGAGGAAGCCTGGTCCAGTTTTACCCCTCATTTGGTAGTCCATCAGATCCTCGCTCCCTCCTCACTAACAGGCCAAATTAACAGCTTTAAAAACTTCCTGTGCAAATTTCTTTAAATAGGTTTAAGACACGCCAGCACACAACTTGAGAAATTGTTCAAATGAGGCTGAAATGTAAATACTGAAAGCGAAAGATGTTTCCCAACACCGAGATAGGATCAGCTACAGAGGCAAGTTTGTGCTGCAGAAGGTGTGTACTGCAGCGTCACCTTGTGGCTGCTGCTGCACACACGTGCGCACACGAGCTTGCTTTTTTCTTTTTTTTTTCTTCATATTATGGCTTCCATACATTTTAGCAGCTCCATTTATGTCCAACCATAATTTCTCACCTTGTCAGATGAATTGTTGTACATTGTGACAAAAATTTCATAAATGTTTCGTTTATTTTTATTCAGCAATAAAGTCAGCTTGGCACAGTTAAAAGCATAGTCTGAACATGTTTAAGGGTACCAGACAGGATCCGTACAAGGACTTTTCAGTCTTCATATGAAATTAACCCAGACAACAAAAAATATACATATATATATTTCTCTATATATAATAGCAAGTCAGTCAACTTTTGCAAAACAGCATAAAATACCAAACTTTGAGTTGCTGCTCAATTTATCTTGAACAGAACAGATTGATATTCCTTACCAGGGTAGAACTGTGCATCCAGAGCTTATTTTATGATGCAATCTTTTCAGAGCATTAATCACAGATAACAGTCTGTGTTTAAAACAAGGATGGAAAAATCTAAAAGTTCACCAGTATTCATCTCTCATTGGAGAATTACTCTTTGGCTTGGCAGATTAAACACATGTCCATCGAAACAGCAGGAACAAGAAGGAAGGGTTAGGTTTTGTGAAAAACTTTAGAAACTGTAATACAAAAATACTGATAAGTTAAATACTTAAATGTGTCAGCATTGTTTTGATAAATACATTTTAAATTGAAAACAATCAAACGCTGTTAAGTTGGAAAAAGTCAGAATTAGGGTTGGAAGGAGGGTTTGAACCCCAACCCTAAGGTTTGGACTTCTCCAAACCAATATGAAAAAGCCGAAATAAACAGAAGTAGTTCAAAGATATGTCTAATTAATGTGTCTAGTAGTTAGTATTATATGTCTAAAACAGTTTATTAATTCCCGTCCAGTGATCACTGCCCTGCTTATTTTAGGTGTATTCATGTTCCAGAACGCCTGACAGACTCTCTTAACCACAACACCTCAAAACCTTATATTTCATGCAACCGTCAGAATTCCATTAACATATTTGTAGGAAAAAAAAAAGGTAAAATTTAACTCGTTGAATTGAAATAAATATTGTCTAACAGCCCCAGTCCAACGGCATTGGTTTAATCTGGAGGGCTGCCTGCCACAAGGAGGGCCGAGAGCTCAGCGGCTCGTTTTGGTAAAGAATTCTCTGCTGTCTGAAGCTGGCGAAGCGTCGGCTCTTTGAGAGAGACGAGGATCCTGATCTCGCATGATAATCGGCAGGAGAGAGAAGACTGAGGGGGGAAAGTCTGTGTCTGGTATCTGCCAGCTCCAGCTCCCTGGCATCAACACCCAAACCGTGTTCAAGCTGTGAAAAGAGAAAACTCTAACACACAGCGTGACATGTGTGTCTTCATTAGTTTTTGGAGGCTGGTTGAATGTTTCTCAACACAAAAAAGCTTAAGTTATTAATTTGGCTACTTATTGGTGCAGATGACTGCATGTAAACATATACACAAAATAATTTGAAGTCAGGCTTGGTTAAAATGTATGCATAAAAATAAAGTGCATTCAAAACTATAGAGTACTATTTGAATATTTTTCAATTTCATTTCAAAGAGAAAGACTGTACTTTTTAGGGATGAAAATTTGTACACATTTGATGTTAATTTTATTTTTCTTTATATAGAACCTCTATAACACTTACAGTCTGAATGCAGGGGACCGACACCAGTCCACCACCACAACACTATAAGGTTAAGCATGGTCAAAATATGTAGACTGATGTCCCAAGACCTCACGATACTACCAAGGATTTCAAATTTCTGCTTCCAGTAACTAAATACAGAAATCAGTAATGCAGGAAAATGACTCAGCTTTAGAGTACATTCAGTGTCTGTTTATTTTTCTGCAGCCAGAAAAATAGAAAAAGTAAAACAAAGAACATTCATTCTGCTGAAGTGTAGTTTGTCATGCTTTGCACATTTACAGTACATGTTGATTCAATACAAAGTTTCTCTGATTTAGACATATTGCCACAATATATTTACAAAAATAACATTAAAACTGAACTCTCTTTAGACTTAACACATTCATAAAAATAAAGCTTTCTGTGACATGGTTTCTGAGAACAAATCTCTTTTACAGAAGATGGAGATGAGTCCTGTTCAAATCCAGATGAAACACAAGCAGCTCCAAGCAGCTTTGTGTGAAGCCTCCAAGCAACTGGGGATACACTGTAAAAATGTCTTTAAAACCCCTAAAAATAAATTTTCAATCTTTTTTTTTTTCCATTACAAAAAAAAAGCCCTCTGAAGTCATGCTGACAGGGAGAAACCAAACCAATGCTCCAAAGATGTTATGCTTCCTCTTCTTGTCTGATCTTCCAGAAATCCTTTCATTCGAACAAGTTTTTTTAATAACCCAACTAAATTAAAGACAACCTCTGGAGCGTGGGGTTGAAAATGTCAACTGTGTTTTTCTTTATTGCAGCAACATGCGAAAACTACAGCTTTCATTTGAAACCGTAAACTCAAAAGGACCACAGTGAAGTGGGGTGCCAGGGACGCGAAAAGGCACGAATAGTTGGGCATTGAGCGATGTTATGTTGGCGCTGGCCATTATTCTCCTCATGACAGCAGTCGTCCAATCTCTGTGGGTAGAAGTATAGCTTTACAACTGAAAGATTTCATACTAAAGTATGAAATGGGACTTTATATCTGATGAGAGCTGCATGACTGTAACTAGTTAAAGCCCATCAGAAAACATCCTCCACTTCCCCATCCGGTATTCATCTGCATGTGTTTGCATATATTTTATAATATATCTTTAATGCATCTGATCAGTGTTTAAACAAACTGGAAGAAAAAAGGAAAACTCATTCCTCAGTGCAAAAAAACAAACAAAAACAAAACAAAAAACAAAAAAACAAAAAAAAAAAATCCACTTCACTCAGCTGCATCAGGCCTTTCAGAGCCGCTCCAGTCCCGCTGATGGTGACGGTCTCCAGGACTTCCACACCGGCTTCACACAATCAACCATTAACTATAAGTTCATTCACTTCCATTACAAAAAAGCTGATGCACCACAAACTCATTCAGTAAGATTCTCCTCCTTACAGGCATCTGCAAAGATAACAGCAGAGTAAAGTCATTGATCACTGTCTCAGGGACCCCAAGTTAAAACTCGTTTTCACAAGTTAAGAGTTGTGTAGGAATCGTGCAGCAGGATGTCAAAACTATTAATCGTTCAAATGTTAGACACACCAATAAGGCAAGACATTAAAACCAATAGAGTAATATTGTTACAACGGTGGCTGACAGAGGTGCTATGGATTAGATTTTACACTTGGTGGTCTGACTTCTCTCAGATCATCATCTGGAGGCTGAAGACATTTTGAAAATTTAAAACTGGAATAAGCTTTTTGTTCCTTGTTGTGTTTTTGGGGAAAGTACTTGTTTGGTCTCTTTGCTTTGTCTGGGCAGTATGTTTCTGCACAGATAAACATGGCCGGGTTCTGCAAAACTAGACCTTTGTGGAGAGAAGACATGATTGAGTGAAGCGACCCTGAATTTTATCAGCTGGAGCTTTATTACCTTAACCCTCCGACCCCCTTCGTTCATGTAAATTGGGCTTCAACTACAAGTGTTACTGCTTTGCAGCCAATGTCTGCTTTGCAGTTTGTGTGTCGCTACATGACAATAAAACCTGAGATTTTCAGCAATAAAACGATAAACTCCTATAACGTGGGTGAAGTCATTCCAAGCTCTGACTGGTTTATGCATTTCATAAACATTCTGATGGATTTGAAAGGAATTTAAGAGGAATTGAAGCTCAAATCAGGATAAAAACCTGGACATCTACAGCCGAGACTTCTGATTCTTTCACATCTGTTACTCTGTGAAACCGCATCACATTATATTTATATTCATTCTGCACATTCCTAAAGGATTATACTTTTCTTTATGTGTTTTGGGAGATAAATTTGCTAAAATATTCTAACAAGGTGATAATAATATATTCCTTGGTCTCTGCTCCGTCTGGCTGCTGAGACAACCAAAAGCACACATCTCATTCAAAATATGTTGAAAAATGCAACCAATCAGAAATGTTACAACCCTCCTTCAAAACAACTCTACCCTAAAGCTTCAGGGAAATAAACATTACCACCCTGGGGCTGTTTTCAGCCAACCTAGTCATATTTGGGAGGTGGGCTTTAAAATGGAAACTACCATGGTTCCTAAAAAATATGCCAGAAAGGGAAACATGACTAGAGATTTTCCAAATTTTGCTGGTCCTTGTGTATGGAAACTAAAATCCAAACAACAATGAAAGACTCAATATGTTCCCACAAAACCCAAGAAAAGAAAACAATGTTTATAAAGGAGTAAAATTTCAAAAACAACCATAAAAGATGAAATATATAAAAACAATTAATAGGTAAGCAATAACACTGTACACCAAATCTTTCACTCTTAGTGGAGGCCCAAACACTGCAGTCGGTTGTAAGAACAGTCGATGGATACTGTGTCGAATTTATGAATTAATGAGTGCCGGTGAGTACGTTTTCTTCGAAGTGCATCCCACCAACTCTCATCTGTTGGGGGTTTAAGGCCCAGACCCAGAGATGCCCTGTAGAGCTGGTTAAAACTCAGCTAGCTTGTTATTTTCTACCCAAGCACATCAATACCAAACATGCTTCGCATCAAAGAGCCGTCTGCGATAAACAAAACACAGCCATGGACAGTATGAGCCAAAACCTCCAGGAGCTGAATTTTAAACACGAGGAATAGTTATTCACCAGGTGAAAAACTAGCAGAGCTCTTTCCTACTGTATGTTTTAGTAAAGTGCAGAGAGTTGATTTCTGTGTAAACAAGCACTGGTGCAGAAAGTATAATCCAGCAGAACAAGCAGAAAGTGGACAAACACCATGCCTTCTGCGGGCTATGAGCAGCCACGAGGCAAACCGGTGCTATTCCTACCTGGGGCAGGGTTAGAGGATTGGTGGGTAGGGGAAGCTCAGGGTCTGGGACAATGAGAGATAGGGGGGGATTAGAGCTACCAATGCTGAGCATCTATACCTGCTGGGCTAAGCACCAGTGCCTGGAGGATATCTGAAAGGGAAACGATGCCCTCAATGCTGGAGCGCTCATCAACCACCACCAGCCGATGAACCTGGGACAAACACGAGAGAAATCAGTCCTCAGGGTGGTCCTGCGTGGCTAAATGCACAAACAGGTCTTTGTGTCTCACTTCTGCTTTGACTATTCTGTCCACAATGGTCTCCATTGTTTCCATTTTGTGGCACTTAACAACTCCTTCGAAGTACTGCGAGCGATGTTTGAGGGCCTGCGTCACTGTGATGTCCAAGTTATTGTAAGTTTTCTCTGCGGCCAAGTTCTGCACGCAAGAACAGAAGCGGGTCAGCATGGAGAACTATGTGTTTCTTCAAAAACAGAATGTGTAAACTTACAATCACATCAAACTTGGAATAAATATCCACAACTTTGCCTGCAAGACAAAACAAAAACAAAACAAAAACCCCAAATTAAGGTAAAACCTTGAATTATTAATAACAGAAAGGGATTTTTTTGGTAATGGTTCATTGTGATTTTACCTGAGTCATCCACCACAGGCAGAGCAGACACCCGTCTCTCCACGAAGATGTTGAGGGCTTTAATGATAGGCGTATCTGGGTGGATGAAAGCGATTTCATGGAACGTCCCGATGCCGAGCTCACCTAGAGTCTGCTTCATGAACGCTGGCTTTGGCATTTCACACACCTGGGAATGTGAAAGGCATTGATACATGTCTTATGTTATATACTTAAAGAGAGAGAGAGATAGAGAGGTATCAATTTAATGAATAAATAAGAAGCAATAACTTAATATTCTGATATGCCAGGATGAATCTAAAGACTTTTGATCAATTCCCACATTGACCACAAGGGGGAACCAAGCATATGAAAATGAGGAAAAACTTGAATGTTTACATTTCACCTAATTAGGCTTTACAGATTATAATCTTGTAAATGTATCTAAACAGAACACAATGACTGAGAAAATTTCTGAACTCACAAACAGTTGGAGGAACTTTAGGATCCTCTTGTGTGTGAGTATATAAAGTGCATTCCCTGTAACAGGGTCGATGACAGGCAGGCGGTGAATTTTATTTTTGATGAGGGTGTACACTGCATCAAACAGACTGCAAAAGCAGAAAACAAAGAAACGTGTCATGAGAGCAACAATCAAGAGGTTCAGAATAAGAACAATGTGTGAAGTTTAACGGAATTTTAGAAAACCTTGCATCCGGTGATATGTTCACAAGAGGTTTAAACGTTGCTTGAAGATAAACCTCTGAGAGGAAAGAATGAGGCAAATACTGGATTATTAAACCCCACAAAGATCAGAAGATTACTACTGTAAGCATGCGTCAACAATTAGAGGTACTTGCCTCTCCATGTTTCAAGCTTGTGTTCCTCTAACTCATAAATTTGCACCTAAAAACAAAAACAAAAAACAACTTCAGACTTAGAAAACAAGTAACCAAAAAGTAATATTCAAATATATGCTGATTAAACCCACCATTGGTGACTTATAGTATCTGTGCAGTATGATGATGAAATCTGTGATTGTCAGCATTCCTGCAGTGAAAACAGATCAAGTCAATAAACACCTCAGAGGAATGCCTGCAGGCATCATGCAGCTGGAAAGAGGGCGTGGTTGGTTAGCACAGCACTGGTTCCCCTTTTTGCTTTATTCTCACATTGACTTGACATTCATTATTCATCAGAGGCAGCAGAGCTCAAACTCAATTCACAACTGGCTCCTCTCTTGACTCCCGAGAACAGACAAAGATGCTTTGACGTTTCTACACTCGATATAAATGAGTCATCTTTGGGCTTTAATAGCTTGGGATGGCTTTAATGTTCTCTACTCAATAAGGAGACATGCTCTGCCAGCCATGACTGCTAACACACAGCGCAGCCTCGTTGTTTATTTATGGAAAACCAGAACTGCAATGACATTTTCCATCTCAGTAAAAGGAAATAATTAAGAGATCACAATGAGGCTTAAATAAAATATAGGCCCAATGGCATAAAACCATCTTCCCTTTACATTTAAGGACTGCACTCTACTATCTTCATCCAACAAACTAAAAAAGCTAAACACACCTTTGACAAGGCATAAAGAAAAAGTAGACATGTTTTTTTCTAATTTAATTCAATACCCTAAATCATTAAAACACAGTTTAATGCGAGTCTGTTGACAGTAGGGCTGAAACTATTTCTCGAGGGATTCGAGTACCTCGATTATTAAAATTCCTCGAGCAAATTTATCTGCCTCAAAGCTTTGTTAAATTATATTTTTTTAATTTAGCGCACCGTGTTCTGGCCAGGTTATTACTTGTGTTGCGCAGCGCTCTCACACCCGCCTAAGTTGTTGACGAAAGCTAAGCGTTAGCAGCATAACATCCAGTTTCCAAGTTCGACCTGGGAGGATTTTATTGATTTTATTGATATATTATTGATGATAATATATCCGGGTTTTGATGTTTTTCAGGGGCAAACGCCATTTCCATTTTAAAGAAATGGTGTATAACAGTCTTTTCTCTTCCCGGAGCTGCTGCCTGGTGGCGGTTCAGAGCGAAAGGTGGAAAAGAGCGCTGCCGGTGTATTTATACAGGTGAGCGGATAGATTTAACAATGCGGGCGGACGAGCTGGAAAATTCATTCCATATCATCCAGGTCCCAACAAATGGGTGGCCGAGCGCATCGTGCTGGTAAATGTTTCTGTGTGTGACGAACAAAGATGTCAAATCCCGTCACTAACATAAACACAAAAACTATAAATAGCTGGGCAAGGCGAGAGTTCATCTATTAAACTGACTGAAGATGAATACATAAACAAAAAGCTGGAGGACAGGCATTTTTTATAAGCCTATTTATGAGCCTGCATTTTTATTATTGAATTGAATATAATTTCAGATTTTTGTATAACTTTTCTTCAGGTTAACTTAGAAAGTATGCTATTGTTACAGAGTAACAACAGGTTAATTTTCTAAACTACGGAAAAGATATTATTAGGGAAGATCGACTGTGAAAAATTGGACTGATGTTGATATGCAATAGAACTACTGCTGTTATGTAAGATTTACCAATGTTTTACTTTATCTTTTTTTTAATCCGGTTGCTCGATTAATTGCAAGAATAATCAACAATTTACCAGATTACTAAAATATTAGTTTACAACTAATATTGACACATTTCATTGTACTTACCCACAAAGCTTTGCTTCTCTGTGTCCCATAGAGGAGCAGCTCGCACACCGTTAGCCACCAAGGCAAAAAATGCCTTCTTAACCTGCCATGAAATGATAAAGATTAATTAACCAATATAACCACACTGCCAACCAAACATATGTCACATGCTGGTCACTTCATCTCTGTCATTTTATTAGTTTCAGGTATGAAAAGAACCTGTTTTCAAGTTGAGCCCAATTGATGTAAAGCAATTTCTTTAATCTCCTTCCAGCTAGAAGATTTGGTCATGTGACTAAATGTCATTTAAAAACAGGTTTTTCAGAATTATCTTAGTTTGTGAGGGATCAAAGTTCTTCTTTCTCAAACCAGCCTGGCCCTATTTGAAAAATAACTTGCTCACTAAAAACAACAGACAATGGCTCTTCCACTCTTAACATCAACAGTTTTTGGCAAACTTAGTCAAAAACTTGGGGCTGAAACCTAGTTCTGGGTCTTGTGGACACAAGAATTGCATTTTTTATGTCTTTGAGTTGATCTTCCAACACCTTCAGATAGGCAATCTCTACTCTCAGCGTTAAACATTGACAAGTTAACGAGGTGCTACTCTCTTTGGATTACTGTTTAACAGCTTCATGGCAATACAGCGAAACATTTAACAGAAATTGCTCTAAGGTAATGTTGTTGTACATTAACTAAACCTGAAAGTCTGTTTTTATTCCCAAGATGAAAACTTCTAAACAATGGAAACAAAGCTGGTATATATGGGGTTTAGAGTACATGGTGGGAGAAAAGTATACTAACTTGAAGCGCTGTGTCAAACACGACCAGCTTGGAGCTTGTGGGGACGATGTCATAGCACTTGTGGGATTTCATAAATCGCATGTAAATATCACTCTCGGGTTCAGCAGCTGAAAGAAAAATAGTTTGTAAGAAGGTAAAATCTCCTGAGGAATGCGTAATGACAGCTTGGAAACAATGCATGCACGCACACACACACACAAAACAACCTAAACAGCCATTACGAGCAAACGGACCACTTACAGCCACTTCCCTGCTCCAGCCTACTGATAATTACCCACTACTTTAAATGCCAACAACAAACAAACAGTAGAAAATCTTGGGAAGAAAAAGTCCTTGTGGGGGGTCTCTATGTCTTAACAGTGAGAGCGAGCAACATTAAAATTGTTTTTCAATATTTGATGACCTCACATAAAGCCACTAAAATGAAGATTAATGAAGATTTTTGCATGTCTTCACCAAGACATTTTGTCAAAGTTAAGATCCATCAGGTACAATATATCCCTTGAAAAATAAGCTGCGCCTATTGTGACATCATAAGGCATATATCATCTGATTAGTATCATTTTTATTATGAACATTTGCATTTTTCTTGTTTTTATACCTAACGCTTCATTCTAAAGAGGTTACCTGTATTCTGCATGGCTGCTGCTAAAGGCTTTACCCGTATGATGTGAGAATCCTGCATGGATGCTGGGAAAATCTGACATTGCCAGGAAAGAATAGGGGAGACAGAAATGGCCAGGCTTGATGCAGAACTGCTGCATCCACTGATACTTCTGCTGAAAATAACCAACCTGACCCAAGCCTGACTTCGTTAGGTCAGGGTTGAATAAGGCTGACTGTGCTTAATCTCTCCTTAAGCACAATTATATTCAATAAATTAGAATATGCGCTCTGATGAGATTTGTTTTGTTGTTTTAAAAGCACTCTTGGGAAATCTTTCACCAGGTACTAAACTTTTTTAGTTTTCACTAAGGATAGATTTCTGTATTAAAATGTTTTTCTTTTATTGTTCTGATGTAATAACCTAATTCAAAAGATCATGTTTTCATCAAATGTGGACAGAAAGCCATAATTAGATGCCTTTACAGAAATAAAGACTTTCAAACATTTGGTGTTTAATTCATCTTCATAAAAATGTTTCACTTAGTGATAAAGAGCCTGAAAAACAAACAAAACAAAAAACTTTTCAATAGTATTGAATGTGTCTAAAGTTTGTGTATGCAAAATAATTGTTCAAACTGCATGCATTGCCCCTGTCCTGTCAGGGGCAATGCATGCATGACTCATACTTGCAAGGGTTAACACCTTGTAACTCAAATGTTTCAGAACCTATGTGGAAATAAGTCCAGTCATTCATCCAGCTGATCTTAATGCTGCCTCTTGTGATGTCATTGGCACACAGGACGAACTTGGTGTTATTTCCATCTGGGTTTTGTAAAATCTTATAATTTAACCCCATTTTTAAAAAAATTTTTTTATATTGGAAATTTAAATTTGTACATAAAACAACTCTGGTTAGTATCTTTAAAACTTCAGCATACAGTGTAAAAACATATTGCATTCTGAACAGACGATTTACAGTATTATTTGCGGTAAGATCCTTTCCCTTTTAACCTGGACCAAAACACAAAACTGGAATCAACTGCAATACCTGCTGGATCCCAACACTTTCGCATCGCGTTAAAGCAAAGATTTACAGCGTGACAGTGGCGAAGCGCAGCGCAGGCTCGGCGGAACACTCACCATCATCATCTAGTTCAAGTTTCTCCAGCATACCTTCGAATAAGCCGTAGACCTGTGGGAGAAAACAGGCAAGAAGTTGGGAGAGAGGAGCGCCGCAGCTGGTCAGCGCACAGCCAAAAAGACAAACAAACTTTGCAGTCAATTGGTGGTGAGCATCAGGCTGACGCCGACTCTCCCTCCCTGCAGCTGACAGCAGATCAGACCGACTGAGGAGAGGGGGGGGGGCCCCAGCAAGAGCAGGGCCGCTGAGCGGCGTCTATTGCCTCAAAGATACTGCCAAGTGCGCTAAATACAAGTAGACAACCTGACAAAGATATACAACTTCAGCGGCGCGTAATATTCTGAGCAAACACCCCCCCCTCTTGAGCAACACGCAGTGGATCGGTCCTGGTCTGCTTGGTGCAGCGGGGCCGCTGCAGTTCACAGAGACGTGTGCGTAAATTCAAACCCGGCACAACAAACCGTCTTTAGACGTCGTCCGACGCGTAAAAAAAAGTCAAAGGGAGCTCACCAAATGGAAAAGAGCGAAGGACGAGGCGGGTGGGAAAAGCAGGAAGCTCCGCGCTCTGACGACACGCCCCTCCACGCAGGACAACCTGGCTGCCTCACCATATTAGGAAATCCTTCCCGTTGCCTAGCAGCAAGAAGCTGGGGATGCCTCATCAAGCGTTCATTACTTGAAACAAAAACGACCCAGATCTACGAAGCATCTTCCCGATAGCGTAGCGATGACATCTTGTAACACAAAGTGGGTTAATTAGATCTCTTTCAGGTCTCAGCTGGATATATGCTGCGTCATGCTGCGAGATTAGCAAAGTCTGCTTGTTTTTCCGCCCGATGTGCTGCCAAGCACTTTCACAACAACCCTCTGCAGCAGGAGGGGCGGGGGCTGGGGGGTGCAAGCTTCCACACCTGCTTTGGGATGCTCCACAGTCTCCCCAGCGGTGCTCTGTAATGATGACACAGCGCTTCTCCAGCCAAAATCTCCCCCTGCACTGCACTCTCATAAATCAGATCCCGCTGCACCACTCCAGGCATGTGGCCTGCTTTGTACTACAGCAAGCCTCCAGGAGGCACACACCCATTCAGAGAATTGCACTTACAATGGAAAATGGCGAAAGGTGAATTATAACATAACATTGTGATCTTTTTTTTTTTTTGAGGTGGCAGAGAGGAACCACAAGTTCAGGCATTAATAGTTAAATACTGATTCACCTTGCGAATCCACCATCACAGCAGGCGGCTGGGTTGCGACAGCTTTTAAGATAAGTCTTTATTCTAAAGCCACAAGAGTCATCAGTAATTCCTCTTTAGCCAAAGGAGGTAGATATGAAATACTGTGTCAGACTGCCGGAATCTGATTATACCTTAAAGCTAACTCAGCCTGAGAAGATAAGAGAGCACATTGTAACTATTTTAAAGCATTGAACGTTTTCACATGTAGTCACACTGCGACATGTAGTTTTGACAACACGCCATGCAGTTTTATGACATAGAAAAACCCAAAGTATTCCAATAAATGCAAAAATAAAAATAAAGTCTGGGCTGCATCTGTATTCAGCAACCCTGCACAGAATCCCCAATTGCAAGAATTACAACCGCAAAAACTTTTGGGGTGTGTTTCTACCAATTCTTTGTGAAATAGTTTTAATGCAGAGTGTCTCTCCATTAGATTGTACTTTCAGCCAGTCTAACACATTGCCATTGACTGCATGTCTCAGACTAAATGGTTTCATTGCTGTATTATTCTGAGTTTAACTATATCCATCTTTCAATCAAATATGACTTCCTTCCTAGACTCTGCTAAAGAAAGGTATGCCCACAGCAGGAAGCTGCCACCACCATACGTCAGCATAGGGTTGATGTGTTCCGGGTGATGTACAGCATTAGGTTTGCTCATCTGAGCAAAGGCCTTCTGTCACAGGTATACTGTGTCCCCTTCATAGCTAGGGAAAAACTGTAAGCATAACATCTCATGACTGTTTGTCGTGCCATGACAAATTGTCACAAGGTGTCCTGTTTGTCAACAGATGTCTCTCGCTTGAACTGCTCTCAAGTAACAGAGCTTGAGATTTGCACTGGCAGATTTCACCACCACCACTGTCCAAGTAAACTTTTATGAGTCTGAGGAAAGAAGCGCATGAGTCATAGACAGGAAGCATTTAAGTCTGCTGTTGTGTATCCAAAAGGGAAAACGGTTAGAGTAAACATCCCATGACCCATGCAGGATAATTACTGCATTTATCTCACGCTGCTTTCTCCAAAACCGACAAAAGAGTCCTTGCCATCTGATTTTAGTTTTGGCCTTCGGGTGTCACAGATAATTACAAAATAATTCTGCTTCATAAAATAGATAAACGACAGACTTTGTGAAGTAATAATTTTACTTCACAAAGTCATTAGTCATTAGCATGACTCACATGTTGTGAGGTAGAGATGGGTGGCACAGGACTAGTTGATGGGATCGGGGGCTTGGTGTAGGGAAGGCTGAGGCGCTGTCCTGTGTCCGGGGGCGTGGACAGGGAGCGGGCTCGGGTACTGGGCTCCAGGCGTTCTGGGCTGGGGCCGCTTTGCTGCTGGGCCTCCTGGCTGAACACAGGTTGGCTCAATGCCTGGGTTGGAGTGGTGGGAGGTGTGGAGAGCCCAGAAGCTGCAGAAAGAGATAAGGTTCACGACAGATAAGTCATCTTATCTTTTCTTTCTTTACATTAGTACCCATTTTTTTTTCCTTTAAACAAAGCTGGCTGACAATGTAGACATGCATTTCAGATGTGCTGCCATTTTGACCAGGAAGGCCGTCAATTATCTAAATATTTTACCAAAGTAGGACTGCACCGATTTATCGACTAGCTGATTTACCTCAATTTTGGGCTCCACCTGCTTCACTTGCATGTGAAGCTGACATTATCCACCAATCTTATCTACCTCAGCAGAGGTCTAAAATAAACTACTCTCCTCTTCTGCTCTGAGAGAGGTTTGACTGATAGAACGGCCTACCAGGTTATTTCTACACTTTTGCAGTTAACAATAGTCACCCTGGTATTGCTAACTCAGCGATTTTCTTGCTATGTTTAGTGACAGAAACATAGCAGCCAGAAAACAGCAATCGGTGCTCCCCTATGCCTAGAAGAAATAAGAAAGACCTAATGCATAGGAATAGCACTCTTGTGAATGGCCATTTTCTTAAGCTATGACTTTTGTGGCTTACCGTCCATGAGGAAGGTGTCAATATTAGCTGGACATTTGTTCAGGCAGCAGTTTTTCACAGTACTGTGTAGATCACAACATGGGCATGACAAAAAAAAATTCTACCTTGAAAAAAACAAATCATGTCTCGTAACAGTTCTATCATTTGTTTTCATTATCTCTGAGCCAAAACTAATCAGAAGGAAACGACATAAACACTTGCAGGCTCAGAATGGACTTGGGTTAAAATGAGTATTTTATTATTTTTTTTTACAAATAAAGCATAATCTTCTGCAAAAGCAAGTCATAAATCTCTATTTGACCACAAGTTGGCGCTATTGGTGTATTTTCTGTCTCTAATATTTTACAACTGGTCTGATTAAGTTTTGTTTTTTAACAGAACCAATACATTTGACATACATTTTATGTCTGAACAATTGTTATCTCTGCTTTGGTCAACCTATCTGGTCAAAAGAAATGTTAAAATATTATTTGATTTAGTTTTTAATAAAACCCTTTTTTCCTCCCAAGTGTTTCCAAGATCTTCTTTATATACCCTTTTCTCCTGAATCACCATGTATTCACAACTGATTTCACATACCTCAATCTAATTGAGCAAAACTCAGACATTGTTAAATAGAAATATTTATGTTTTTTTAAATACAGTTTTAACACAGCTTTGGATGACAGATCTGGGTCAATATTAACTTTCTATTTTAAAACACTACTAATTTTATCAATACTAAAATTATTTTCGGTTTGGAAAATAACATTGTGCCACAACTATAATTGTTTCCGCTAACATTTTATTTTAGCAGAAATAAAGTGTTTATAATGTGCGTTCGCTAACTGATTACACAGCAATGTGTTTATGATGTAAAGCACTTTGAAATGCCTTGTAGCTGAAATGTGCTATACAAATAAAATTTGATTGATTGATTGATTGATTGAATGTTTTCCTTGAAGGCATCAATACTACTGTGTACTAGCAGCTGTTGAAACCTGCATCCTCCTGATTGTTTTCACTAAAATACTGCTTTAGGGAGTTCAAAGGACAGGTCATAAACAAATGCAAGTGAGTCCTGTAAAAAAAAAAAAAAAAAAAAAGGAAAAAAAAAAAGCGATCCATAATGGATTAACTGAGCATAAATCACGACAGGGGGAGATGTCGTTGAGAGAGCGGGTTTAAATTCCCATGTAACGGTCAGCTGTCTGTGACGCAGTGGGTTTGTCAGATTGGGGACGTTTATCACATGACAGCCTGCATGCTCTTTCACGTCAGGCCTGGTAAGCTTGTGTGGGGCGACATGCGACCCTCACGTTGCTACGGGTGCTCCCCCGTGACATATTTCTGAGACCTGACAATAAGCTACGATCTGGGCTACATGGTTCACATTACAATCTCTTAGCCCTGAATTTTGAAGGAGACTTTTATAATGAGAAAAGGTGACAAAGGGGAGTTTAAAAAAAAAAAAAAAAATTATGAAAGATATAAACGCTTTATAAACTTGGATTTTAATGAGTTCAGGCAGCATCTCAAATTTCTATATTGCAAAAGAGAGCAGCTTAAAATACTATTCAGACACAAACTTAAACATAATAATATTAAGTCGTGAAACATTTCAGTCAAAGCAGGCCCTGATTATTTTCCCCTTTAACACTATCTCTTGACATTTAGTTGGCGCTCAGCAGGGCTCTTTGGTGTGCCCAGCTTCCGCTGTGCAGCCGTCTTTTTTTAGCCACGCTGCTCAGGCACATTCCACAGGAGCAGATAACAGCAGGCCTGCAAGCCCTCTCATCTGTCTGAGTAATAGAGGACAGTTAGGCACCAGCAGGGAAATGGGACATGGATGCATTGCTGCAAAGACTTCATCTTGATCCAAAGCAAACAAACATCTAATTTAACTGTCAAGTTATCAAAGACGAGATCAATTCAGACACAACTAACTGTATAGAAAAACAAAAGAAGACCCAACAATGATTTTTAAGGTTGAAAAAAAAAAATTGAAATCAAACCAAGTCGTTATGCTTTAATGTTTGCTGTTAATTAAAACTAACAGTAAGGTATGCCTAATACAGATGAGCACATTATTTCAGCTTCTCAAACTTACGGAAAGTTAATCATTTCAGTGAGGGGAAAAAACCATTTGGATGCTTAGTAGCACTAGAAATAGTCATAAAACGAGATAATCATTGTGGTAGCAATTTACTGTTCTGACAATTATTTTCCAATTGAAGCAAATCAAATAGAAAAAAATTCTCAAATCATGTCCTTACAAAATAATATTCCTGAGCTTTTTTGACAATAAACAGCACAAGTAGTAACTTTAAAGCAATCACTGAATGTTATTGCCTTGAAGTTTTTAGTAGCTCCAATTTAAATCACAAAATCCAACTTGGTTGCAGTTTTGCCATGGTCTGTACCCACGCTGCATTAACATGTTTTAAAGCAACGATGTGTTAGTGTAACACCTATAAAAGTGGATCCTCTCAGCCCTTGAACAGTCTCGACTCTTGGAGCAATATGAAACTTACCATCTGAATTCAGTCCATTACTGGGGCAACTAAAGCTTCAGTCATTTATTTGTCACCCAGTGAGCAAACTCCTGCTGCAATGCTGCACTATGAACCTCAGCCATCCAAGAAGGATGGGGCAAAGATAGCAGGGCCTCATGTGGCTCATTTACTAATAATTTATCATGATATGTCAGCTACACTAAATCACTTCCCCATATTAAAATAAACATAAATATAAAAACAGTATCATAACGAGATTAATAATCACTTAAAAAACCAAAACAGTATTACTAAGAAGTACCAAGGCGCTTTCTGATAGGCCACAATTAATTTTCACAAGCAGAAGAAGAAATCCCAAAGGATGCTGTTCAGCAACAGGAGGAATGTGGGTTCTGATTCTGCAGTGTTGAGGCTCTGGATCAAAGGACTGAAGTAGTGTTGAGTCAAGAAGACAATATTTCTTGTCTTCTTTATAGATATTCATTACACAGAGTACACAATTTAAAGGTTTTATTTGTTGCAATTTCAATGATTATGGCTCACAGGTAAAGAACACCCAAAATTCAGAATCTCAGAAAACCAGAACATCACATTAGACCAATCGGTAATGGATGGTTCAAGCACAAATGTCAGGCTTCTGAAATGTACATATATTTCTAATCACTCAATGCTTGATTGGTTCTCATCTTGCAAAAATTAGTATATGCATAACCATGGCACAGTGGAAATCAGCCTGTGTCACGGCAAAGGTGCAGGGAAAGCCCAGAGTGCTTTGATAGGGGGCTTCAGGTCATCTACTTTACTGACTCTGTCACTCATCTTCCTAATGATGACCACCTATACATCTTATATGGGTCTCAGATTAGAAGAGTTTTGCTGGCCAATCAAGAACAGGAACACACCGGGCATTGAACCAGCTTCTGGTACCTTCGACAGTGTAGACAGGTGTCAACGCTTGCTGAAAAATAAAATTAGCAACTACTTCTGACTTGTCATCAGATGAAACCGTGAAGTTCTCTAGAATTTCCTAGTAGACAGCTACATTGACTGCAGACTTCAGAAAACACAGTGGACCAACACCAGCAGATGGCATGGCGTCCCAAACCATCATAGACTGTGCAAACTTCTCACTGGACTTTAAGCAATGAGGATTTGGTGCCCCTCTCCTCCTGGCTGAGCCAAAATAAAGCAAATAAGGGAGACTTTTCTGACTTCTCACACAGCTGTTCCATTGTTCTATTATGTTAAAGTAATCTGCAGCTGCAGCTGTGTCAGATTCTCTGATAATAGCAAAAGAACAACAGATCACAATGGATAAACATTTTGTTTTATTTTAATTAAGTAATCCATAAAGAATCCTTGTTAAGTTCAATGCTGAATATTTAAAGTGTCAAAATTTATGATATCACTTTATTAAATTTGTAGGGTGATAAAAATGTCAATTTTTGCAGATTTATTGGTCTGACCGGGTTTTATAAAGAGAACGTTGATCGTGACATTGGATTGAGGTGAAAAAATGTTTTATCCACAGATAACATTCCTGTGTTTGTTAAATCACAGAGTGTGCAAGACATTGTAGCCACTGTGATAAATATTTAATTAGAGGCATTTCATGATTTTCTGAAGTGAATCATCTGTTAATTTAGAGAACAGTAAGCTTTCGAAATGAGAGCATTCTTAGAAATCCTGTGCATCCCTACC